TCCTCCTCCTCCTCCAACTTCTCCTCTCCTCCAGGTGGTTCTGCGCCGCGCGTCCCCATCGGCCCGCCACACAGGGCCCCCCGCGGCCTGGGCCACATGTGCGGCCGCGACCCGACCACGGGCAGCCCGACACGAGTGGTCCGCCACCTCCTCCTCCTCCTCCGCTTCCTCCTCCTCCTCCTCCTCCTCCTCCTCCTCCTTCTCCTCCCTCCTCCTCCTGCACCCTCCTCCTCGTCCGCCTCCTCCCCCGTCCTCCTGCTCCTCCTCTCCTCCTCCCCCATCCATCCTCCTCCTTCCTCCTCCTCTCCTCCTCCTCCTCCTCCTCCTCCTCCTCCTCCTCTGCTCCCTCCCCTCCTCCTCTCCTCCTCCTCCTCCTCCTCCCCCCGCCTCCTCTTCTCCTCCTCCTCCTCCTCTCATTGCCGCCTCCTTTCTCCTCCTCCTCTCCTCCTCTCCTCCTCCTTCTCCTCCCTCCTCCTCCTCTCATCTATCCTACTTCTCCTGCTCCTTGTTGTTCGTTCTGCTCCGCACGTTTCCCTGCGTCCCGCCACCGGGCCTCCAACGGCCTGGGCCACAGTGGGCCGCGACCCTAACCAACTAAACACTATGAACACGAGTGTTCCTCCTCCCCTCCTCCTCTCCTCCCCTCCTCCCACTCCTCTCCTCTCCTCCTCCTCCCCTCCTCCTCTCCTCCTCCTCACCTCTCTCCTCCTCCTCCCTCCTCCTCCTGCCTCCTCCTCTCCCCCCCCCGCCTTTCCTCCCTCTCCTCACTCCTCCTCCGCCTCCTCCTCCCCTCCTTCTCCTCCTCCGCCTCCTCCTCCTCCTCGTCCACCTCCTCCTCCTCCTCCTTCTCCTCCTCCTCCCTTCCTCCTCCTCCTCCTCCTCCTCCTCCTGCCTCCTCCTCCTCCTCCTCCTCCTCTCCCCCTCCCCCTCCCCCTCCTCCTCCTCCTCCCAGGGCGCGGCGCCCGACCACGGCGGGCGTCGGGATCACCGCGCACACCGATGAAGGATCCTCTGGGGTTCTTGCGAAGCAGGGGGGTCAGCCTCGCCTCGTCGTCGCGCCGCGACGGGGGTCGGAGTGCCTTCGGCGTGCGGTGGCTGCCCGCGACGGGGGCCGATGCGGGACTGTCGGCGGGGGTGACGCCCCCCGACGCTCAAAACAGAACTCGGAGTAGGGACAGGCCAGTCTCTGCAGCAGGTGGCGGGGACGAGGGGGCGAAGGCACGAAAGGCTTTGGGCGCCTTCGGACGGCTGGGCCCCGAAGAGTTAGGCCAGGCTCTCGAGGCGGCAAAGAAGTCACTGGCAGATGCAGAGGCACATGAGCGACTGCAGCGCACGCCAGATGATCTATTTCGCCGATCTTTGGACAGGCTTAGCCAGAAAGACAAGGAAGTCACGCGTTGCAGTCAGCAATGGACGAGTTGCAAACGCAACTCAAGGACAAATCACAGGAGCCCGTGCAGAATGAGGTGGCCGTCACTCGCGCTGTCGTCCTTGCTAACGGTTCTATAAGAAAGGACGTCGCAACATTTAAAAACAAGTATGTGGGGTTCCTAGGTATTGTAATCTGAATATCAGGCCCGTTGCTGCACTTGTCTCACTACGTATACGTCGGCGGCAACCGTGCCCACTTCGCAGAATCGCCGAAACGCCCTGGGGAGGAATGCGGGGTGGAGGAGGAGAAGGAGAACGGGAGAAAGAGCGATCTACTCTGTAACTGTGTTTTCGTTGGTCTGATCCGACTTCGAAAACATCTCCTCTGTATACGTGCCTCTGTGAACTCTGAGGGAATCAACTGAACCGCAGCTCTGCAAACGTGTTTTTAGGTCCGATGAGGCCTCCAAGAAGATCTTACTTCAGGGGGAGCCCAACCACAAGAAACCTTCCCCAAGACACCCAAACCCCGAGACCCCGGGAGGTCCATTGATCTTTGGGCGCGGGAGCGCCGCGCTCTCCGGAGCATTACCACCGAAAAACCCGGGAAACCCAAGGCACCCTGGACTGAGCAGGGACCGACCGCCCAGGCATACCTATAGTCATACCACGAAATGTTCTTAGAACCGCAAGATGTTCCAAGAACAAAGACAATGTTCTCAGAACATAAATTAACCCGATGTGTTGAAACGAGACGGTCCCAGCCAGGAATGTTCTAAGAACATTTCGCGGGAGCCAGGAGAGGTTCTCAGAGCACTGCTTGGCAAGGCTATAGGCGAGCCAGGACGCTTCGCCACTGCTTGAACCCTGGAGGCCAGCAGGCTGCTTCTCGGCACCGGCCCCCCCTGGACCTTCCGGGGGGGGGGACGGGGGCCGCGACTCTCCCCGGGCGCGGCGCGAGGTCCCCCGCGCGGGCCGCCCCTCTCCCCCCCTCTTTTTGTTCACGGCGAGAGCGGCCGGCAGGCGGGCGGCTGCGCGAAAGAATCCGGGAGCGCGGGCCCGTCGGCGGAGCCCGCGCGACGGCGCGCCGCTGGCACGGCTGCGGGAGGAGGAGGGAGCATGCCTCCCCCTCCCCCGCCCTCCCCCCTCCCGCACCCAGACAGGAGGTGTGCAGCACTAGCTCCAGGCAGTGCAGGAGGCACTGCAGAGCGAAGGGCCCTCGGATGCAGGGGTAGAGGACCCGCCTCCTCTCCCCCCACCTCAGACGTGGCCCCTGAGGACGGGGGAGACAAGTGCAGATACGGAGTAAACCGAATTCAGAGTGGATGCCTACTGGGAGGATCCCGACTTCGCACGTACCGCGACTCCTGGGAAGCGCAGTGACCTGGGAGGTAGCCGTTGGTTTCCTCCCTCGTCCTCGCCTCCTGCTTGCTCCCCCCACTCCCCGCCGAGGAACCTGGCCTCCCACCGCCGCAGGACACTGCGACATCGGCCGTCGCCGCTGCAGGCAGCCGCCCCGTCTTCACGCCCAACGAGGCCAGAGACCCGTCTTTCTACCTAGAGGACGGGGTTCCCCCTTCTGTCTTCCCTGCCTCGCCTCTTTCGGCCCCTCCCCCTCCCCCGCCCCTTCCCCCCGGCCTCACAGCTGACAAGTTGGCCAGAATTGCTGCTCATCGTGCAGCAGCTCGTGAACGACGCCACAGGCGCGTCGCCCCGTCGTCTGGTCAGCTTGCACGTCATGTCTAACTCTCAGTGAGTTGCCCCAGGATGCCTCCCACACGGTACACGCCCCAGAGTTTTCCCACCAGAGTTTTCCTGAGCTGAGCACGTGTTCACGGCACTGCCATCGTCCGCCGCCGCGCCTCCTCCTCCTCCTCCTGGTCTTCTTTCTCCTCCGCCTCCTCCTCCTCCGCCTCCGTCTCCTCCCGTTTCTCCTCCTGAAGCACTGAAGCACTGAAGGCAAAAACGTTCGTCGAACGTTGCCCTCCGCCTCCTCCCCCTCCTCCTCCTCCTCCTCCTCCTCCTCCTCCTCCTCCTCCACCTCCTCCGCCTCCACCTCCTCCTCCTCCTCCTCCTCCTCCTCCTCCTCCTCCTCCTCCTGCGTCCCCCACCCGCCTCCTCCTCCCACCTCCCGCCTCCTCCTCCTCCTCATCTTCCTCCAGCCTCCTTCTCCAGCGTCCTCCACCCGCCTCCTCCCTTCAGCATCCGTCTCCTCCTTCTGCTTCTCCTCCTGCTTCTCCTCCTCCTAACTCCTCCTCCAACTCCTCCTCCTCCTCCTCCCTCCTCCTCCTCCTCCTCCTCCTCTCCCTCCTCCTCCTCCTCCTCCCTCCTCCTCCTCCTCCTCCTCCTCCTTCCCTCCTCCTCCCTCCTCCCCCTCCTCCTTTTCCTCCTCCTGCTCCGTCTCCCTCCTCCCTGCCTCCCTCCCTCCCTCTCCCTCCCTCCCTCCTCCTTTCTCCTCCTCCTTTCTCCTCATCCGTCCCTCCTCACTCCGTCCCTCCTCACTCCTCTGCTTCCTTCGGACGACGGCAGGAGGCCAGGCGGAGAAGGCCCCACAGAGGGAGCGCTGGGGCATGCGGGCGTCGCTCCGCGGCCGCCGCAGGAGCGGCCGCGGTGGCACGCCGAGAGCCGGCGGGTGGGAGGGCGCGGCGTCGCGCGACCCCAGGAGGAGGAGGAGGCGGAGGAGGAGAGGAGGAGGAGGAGAGGAGGAGGAGGAGGGAGGAGGAGGAGGGGGAGTGAGGAGGGAGGTGAAGGAGGAGAGAGGGAGAGGTAGGGAGGGAGGGAGGACGGGAGAGGAGGAGAAGGAAGGGAGTGAGGAGGAGAAGGAGGAGGAGGAGAGGAAGACACCTGCCTCGCCACAGCTCTCTCTCCAATGTTTCGCTCCTCACAATCCTGTTCCGTCCTCCTCTCCCCCTCTATCAACTTACCCCATTTCTCCCGCTCCTCTCCTCCCCTCCCCTCCTCCTCCTCCTCCTCCTCCTCCTCCTCCTCCTCTTCCTCCTCCTCTTCCTCCTCCCAATCCCCATCCCAATCCCCATCGTCATCCTCATCATAACCCTTATCATCATTGTCATCCTCTCCCTCCTCTTCGTCATTCTCATCCTCCTCGTCATCCGTATCATCATCTGTTGTGCATCCGTTGTTCGTCTGCTCCTTATCCGTCCTGCTGCAGCCTCCGTCCAACATTATCCACCTCATCCTTCTTCCTCTCCTCTCCGTTGTCCTCCTCCTCCTTCTTCCCTCGCCCTCCCCTCCATCATCTACGCCACGCCTCCTATGTTCCTCCATCCGACCTTCCACCCTTGATCCTCCACCGCCTACCACCACCGACCCCCTTCTGTTTCTTCTCCTCTGTCCCATCTTCCTCCTTCATCCTCTGGGGGCGAGGGCGACTGACAAAGGGGCGTGGGAAAGGGAAGGATGATGTAGGAAGATGGGGGGCAGGTTGGGTGCGCTTGCGCCACAACTGACCCCATGCGGAAAACAAACAAAACAACACACATTCACACACAACACACAGTGTGTTGTGTGTGTTTGTGTGTGTTTGTAGTGTTTGTTGTCGTTGCTGTTGTTGTCGGTGTTGTTGTTGTTGCTATTGTTGTTGTTGTTGCTGTTGTTCTTGTGTTTGTGTGTGTTTGTAGTGTTTTGTGTGTAAATATAGTTGTGTGTGTTGTTTGCTCCCGCCCGTCCCTTCCCATTGCCGTGAGTCCTGTCCTATATGCCGAGTCTGGTGACCTGGAAGACCTCGATCCCCAACTGGCGGCTGCAGGATTCGAGCGGTGATGTGCGATGCAATCGGGGGGGATGCTTCTATGATCTTGAGGAGGAAGAGGAGGAAGCGGATGGAGATCGAAATACAGGAGGAGCAACACGAGCAGAAGAGAAGCGTCAGGAGAAGGTGATGCATTGCAAAGGGGTGGATGGCGACAGCGGGGATAACTCCACATTCAGAAAAAAAAGGCCCGCCCTGGGGCGAGATCGCCATCCGGAACGACAGGGGCAACACACCGACCCCGAAATGTAGCAAATGCTGCATCGGAAGCACCATCTATGCAGGGACGAATGATTTCATAGTCACACAAAAAAACATGTCTGCCAACGTGGACCCCAAACAATGCCTCACTGCACTCCTGGAAGCATCGCATATGTGGTGCAACCTCCGTGACATAGCCTACGTCGTGCAATTCACCACTGTTCACTGACGATATGTCAACTCTGCTGCTCGCGCCACCAGCCATCCCACCCGCAACTTGTTTTCCACAGCCCAAGCGGCCGCCATTTCAATGGCCGCAGAGGCACGTCAGACAGGTGGAAAAGAGGAGGGTGGCCGCGGAGGGGGAAACGCGGGGGGAGGCCTCGGGAAGACCTGCTGCCGCATCACACGCAACGGTCAGGACAAGCTGCTGCCGCATCACATGCAGCGGTCGGGAGACCCTCGTGGGTCGGCACCAAGGGGGTCACTCCAGAGAAGGTGGGCAGACAGAAAGGTACCGACACCGCTACTTCCCGGACCTCTCCCGGGGCGCGTTCTCGCCAGCATCGCGAGGCGGATCCAGCAGTGGCGACGAGGGCCTCCCAGGAGGCCCAAACGGGCGAAAACGAGAGAAGGGTGGCTGCCCGGCCGGACCTACCCCCATCGGGGATGGACAGACCTCCCTTCAGTAAAACGTGGTTTAGTGAAAACGACCTCGGGCCCAAACCTGGCGGGCGCAAGCCTGGAAAATGACGGCCGCGGTGCCCTCTCGAGAACCGAACACGGACAATTCACTAATCGACGTGTCGGGGTAGGAGGTCTGTCCACCCCCGACCCCGAGGACATGAGACCCTCCGCTGGCCACACGGCAGGACCTTCGAGGGTGCCCTCCCCTAGGAATTATGCACAAGAGCAGCCAACAGGCACGACGAGCAGCAGAGCACCCTCCCCCAAACCGACCTCGCCCTCCTGCCTCGGCCCGACCTCCTGCGCACCCCTCGCCATCGCTCGGACGTCCATTTTTTGTATTCTTGTTGTTCGGTTTCGTGCGTGGTTGTTTCGCCAAATGGTCAAGGATGCTCCTCGATGGTTCTCGCCGAGAAAAAATGCACACGTCCGAGCGATGCCCGGACCCGCTCCTCCCTCGAGAGGGGTCGCCCCTGCGTGCCGCCGAGGACGGGCCAAGGCGGAGGGCAGGAGCGCCCGGCGTCGAGTCGAGGAGCCGCGTCGGCGATCGAACGGGAAGCGCATCGGCGGACATCGGCAGCCGAGCCGGGAGGAGCCGAGTCGGCGGCCAGCGGCAGAGCAGCGGGGCCTCCCTGAGAAACATCGGAGCCCACGTCGGCAGCCGGCGCCGAGCCGCGGCGGCAGCGGAAGCCCCCGGCATCGCATGGAACCGAATCGGAGGAGTCGAGGCGAGCCCAGAAGCGGGGGGCAGGGAGGGTGGCGGCGCACACCAGCCGCACCTGCCCCGGCCGGGGCGCGATCGGCGCTCCCCCGCCGGGGTGCGGCGGCTCAGCACGAGCAGCCCTTGGTCGTCTCCTGCCGGAGGGGGGGGGGCGCAGGAGCGACGCCGCACCAGGCCTCACGGCGCAGGGGGCATCCGTGGCAGGGCGGCCAGGAACTTCACCCCCCTGTGACCAGAAGCGGAATCGCGCACTGCGACACGGGCGTGATGTAGACGTGCACACGCGTGATGCTGCCGCTTCTTGGTAGTAGCCTCCGCAATCAAGCACCTCAACGTTGCGCACCGGACTGTGTGTATTTGTGTCTGTAGCTCTGTCTGCGCGGCTTGAGCACCAGCCTAAAGCTAATGCTTGCTCCCGCCCTCGCGGCCACACGCAGGAGTGGCCCTAGGCAGGGGAGACGTCTGGCGCCCGGCTTCCCGCTCGTTGCGTGCGGTGCGGCAGCACATGCTGCTCCTGCGAAGGGTCACTCATACGATTATCCCCCCCTACGGCGAGACACGAGTGCACCATGTTTCTGGCCGCGCTCGGGCGGGGAGGAGAAGGAGACCAAGAAGTTCCTTCCTCCTCCTGCACCTCCTCCTCCTCCTCCTCCTCCTCCTGTTTCTCTTCCTCCCCTTCCTCCTCCTCCTCCTCCATCCCTCTTCCTTCTAGATAACACCTTCCTGTCGCACTCCGAAACGGGTCGGTCGG